GTGCATTTTTGGTGTTAGACACTAAGATTGAAATGTGAATGATCACCAAGGTGGAAATAAATGATGGTTTGGGGTTAGTGATGCTAGTTTTAGTAGGCTTAAAATAGCATATGTAAGAATATAAGTTTACGAATTTTCAACAAGTGTGATGGTGCAGTATGATATAGATGTGATTCCTAGGTATGACAATGAATGGTGACTAAGTCAATGGATAAAAGAGATCCTTAAGCATTAGGAAGATAGAAGTGAACCCAAGGTAATATGTGCTTCCATGATATTCTAAGATTATTTAAGTATTATGTGTTCTAATATAGTATGTTTGAGTATGTCTTCTATAATGTTCTTAAGAGTTGAATCGAGGATTTAGAGATAGATAGGTTGTGTTTCTTTGTGATGCTTTCTTCTCCGTTTATTCAGAGGGATATGAACTTAGAGGTGTGATGTCAGTAGGATAACAAGAAAGATTAGATTATGAGGTGCTAGGGGAATTGGTTATGTTTGCTAATGTGTAAGTTATATGATTGATTAAAGAAGCTTGAATCAATTGAGACTGGTATGTCTAAAAGGAATAATCTTATAATGAAGCTAGCATCTTCCAAATATAGTTTGATCGAGTAAGATGAGTGTTTATGTGTATATTATCGGTGAGTTGATAGGATATGGAATTGGCCCACAGGCTTGGAATGTCGGCTTTGATCTAAGGGGGAGATGATAGGGAGAAAAGAACCAAATCAAGACTTGTGAATCAGATTGTATTGCATTTCAGGAGTTATGATGAGATAGCAATGCATTTCTACTCTAGAGTATTCCTCATATTTCAGTCATTTTGACATTCTACTCATCTCTTGCTCGTTAGTGTCATGCCCATGACCTATGACCCATGACCCATACTCATGAACTTCATAAATGTTCATTCCCGTGCTCAAATTTTAGAGCAATAGCTTCAGAACAACGACACCCATATTACTCCATGAATCAATGACTTCTAGCTCTATAATGTAAGATTTATGATGTATGCTCCCATGATTTTTCAGTATGCCCAGTTCTATGTATTCATGATATATTCTTGGTGATAAGTGAAATCAGAATACGTATGTATGTTTTCATTTCAGATTTCTTGAACAACTTGTGCCTATGATCTCATTGTTCTAAATCCTACTTACATTCACTCATGGTGGTTATGGATGGTTAAGCCATATTCTATGCTTAGAAAGCCTCTCTACGTATGGTTTATGTTCAAGTACATGACATATTCATGCCTATTATACTTTTCTCTTCAGGCCCCATTTAGGAGTGTTAAAGTAATGAGAATTATAATCTATAATTTAATAGTATCTCTCTTATTCTAGATCCTCGTACCTTAGTCCTTTAGTAACCTCCCGATGTTGCGATAGTGGTGTTGGTAACAACTGAATGATGGTTTTAGATGAAAAGGTAGTTGTCTTTACATTGGGAAGATTAGGGTATGCTTATTCTACCTAAGGTTATAAAAGTGGAGGGAGATCAAGGATCTATTGTATGAAATATTTTGATGTAAAGTCTTGGTGTTTCTCTTGGTAGTAGTCCTTGTAAATTTTAGCTTACTAGTATATGGGCACGTGCGTTGCATGTGTATCCCATGTAAATTTTTTAAATTCATTAAATGGATTAAAATTTTATGAAATATATATGTAATGAGTAATAAAATATATTAATTAAAAATGAATCTTTAAAACAGTGAGAAGAAACACCAAATGAGGGCCGTATGATAATGTCTAAACTTAATTCATTTTAAGCAATAAATTGTTTATTTGAACAGTAGTTAATAGTAGTAGTTAATGGTAGTACAGTTCTAATAAAAAGTCATTAATGACTAATTTGAGCCAAAAATAAAATACAGACTTAGTATGATCAGAAATTCATAGAAATCAAATTTAAAAAAGTTTAATAGAGACAAAAATACAAAAAAAATAAATACAACATACACATCCTTGTTAAGACTTTATTCAAAAGAATATAGTAGATGTGAAATAAATACATAATTAGTACATAATTTTTTGAGTCTTGTCTACACCTTCTCCCATAACCAATCAAAATTCAATGTCTTCTTCATTGAATCAAATTCAAACATGATCAAATGACAAATAGTACAATAATGATACAAGTATTTCACTGCTTTATTATTGAATGAGATGTATAATCTTGGATAGGGGTCTCATGAAACCAGTAAGATGAATTTAGATAGATGAAAATGGAGGAGTATTAGAAAAAATAAGAAAGTTTTAAATAAAAGACTTAGAAGTTATGAATATGAAAAGCATGAGAGTTATAAATATTAAAAGTAACAATTAAATAAGTAATTAAATATGGGTTATGAAAATGAGTATTTAAAGCAAATAAGAAAATAGTTAAAAACAAAAATAGTGCAAATAATATATAAATCGAAAAAAGAACATACCTAATAATTTTGGAGGTTTCTACTAATGTATATTTCAACGTGAAGGTTATGTGCATTCCCATTTATAAGTTTTTTTGTTTAATATAGAATTTTTATCATAATAAATTGGAAAATTCAATAACTCCTAATAATGGAAGAGAACCAAAAGACCAGAAGCTTTGAAACGTAGGAGGTATGTTCACTGTTAAATAAATATTAAATACTAATTTTTGATAGGGAAGTAATTTTCTAATAAAAACAATTTAAAGAAAACAATTTTGCAGTAGAGTATAATTTTACTTTTTAGATATAGGTAATTAAACTTATAAAGGGTATTTTTTGTAATTCAACTTTCAATAGTGGTACCCCATATTCCGCTAAACTTTGAACTTACTCAACGACAATAAATCACACAAAGAATTTTAAAATGCAAGAAGAAGAAGATTAGAAGATTAAAAAAAAAAATTGCGGTTGAAAAATGAGAGGAAGTCCCTCTATTTATAGTCAACAAAGGGTAGTATGAACAATTGTTTTTTGTGTCTTATCTGAAAAGTTCTGACCTTCCCGAGAAGTCACAACCCTTTGGAAAAGTCACAACTCTTTGGAAAAGTCACAACTCATTAAAAATCAGAACCCTTAGGAAAAAAGTCCCAACTTATCAAAAAAGTCACAACTCATCGAAAATGTCACAACCTAAGTTAGGGATATTATAGTAATTTAACATTCAAGTTAGGAGTTCATGCTTTTAAGGTAATATAGATATAGATAAAGACGCTAGGAAAGATAAAGACTATTAGATGGGTTTGTTACCTTGAAGTCCATGAAGTGGTTATAGTGACAAGCTTGAATATTATGTTGATAACATATGGATGAATTCATTATGCACTAGTAGTTTCTTAATTTGAACTTGGTTGAATGGTGTGGTAAGAAGAAGTAATATTCTTGGTATGGAATTTCCTACAGAAATATAGGATTAGTACATTCATCTTACGCGTAACACTTTGTGACTCCAAGTTAGGCTTGAACATGGTGGGAGCATGCAGTTAGACTCAGACCTCATGCAAGTAGTAGTCACATATATTCTTGTAAGGGCTATAAGTTGCAACTATTGAAGGGTAGTATGCCAAAGAAGAAGCGTAGTTGAGAAGTGTTTCTAAACTTAAAAGTCAACAGTTGTATCACTTAAATCATATAGAAGATTCTTACCCTATCCCCATAGTACCCAGTTTCCTATCAAGACCTTTAGATGGGGTGTGACCCATGTTCAATCTATATCGTTCATACTTTATGGATCCATGTTGGTGTCTCACATGAATTTTGCCTATGATTCCTTCCAGAGTTCCATTATCAAGTCTTTTGGAGGCCAATAGAGGGAAAGTTCATTTCTATGTTTATTTTCTTCATGCCTGTGCTAATTCTTGCGCTCTTTGCTCGTGCTTCTACATTTCCTATTGTGGATTGCTAAAACCCTATTTTTAGTACAATTTACTTTATGCTAGTAGATAGAACAAATATCCCAAATAAATCTTTGCTTACTCTATTCACATATCTATTCTAGCTATGATCTTCATTCGAGGACGAATGATCCAAAGGGGACATATTGTAACACCCTACAACTTCCAAGCAAAGATTTGAACTATGTTTCGTATGCGTATAAGCACAAACCTGATGATTTCTAGGTTGTACATATATGTTAAGGTCCTTTATTAAGTGTGGTAAGTGTGTCGTATGTGTTTTAGGGTCGTAAGGTACCACTAACACCAAGTCAAGTTCAAATCCATTCTACCAGCTAAGTTTTTCACTAGAGATCATGCAAGGGTCAACTTCAAACGACCATATCTTTCAACATATGAAGAGTTAGGTGACCCATGACCTATCAAATTGAAGGTATTTGAGTTTAGTTTCGAACGCACCAAACCGTTGATCAATGCGATAATAGTACACAAAGTGATGCTTATTTCACTAGAAACTGTCTTGCTGTGCATGAGTTGCGCCGGTAGCACACTAGCGCAATGAGGTAGCCTCTGCTGCCATGCCGCGCGCTGGCTGCGTGCCCAAGACGTTATCTGTGATAGTGCACGTCAGAAAGCGTATAAAAGACCCCAAAGTTGTGGTTCACCTCCCTAGTTCATAAACTTACTCTAGAAGGAGAAGTTCTCAAGAAACTAACTTTCTCCAAGGTTCATCCACCATTGAAGGTGTGGTTTGACCGTAGAATTTCATAATTTCTTCATCTTAACACGAATTAATACCTCCCACTCATGATATTCATAGATTTCCAAGAAAAAGACCCCAAGAACTAATCTCCAAGGTTCAAAAAGGGTTTCGTGATTCTTCTTCTTCCAAGATTCTAGTTTTCTTGGGTATTTTGATGCAATTATGGTATGTAAGATTTTAAGGAGGAATTCCTTTCATCCTCATGTCTAAAATTCCCCAGTTTTCATGAAATCAATTTTATAGTTAAGGTTTATAAGCCTACTTTCATATTCACCATTTTTATGATCCAATAACATGATTTCTTGAATTACTTACCTTGCATACCAATACATTCCATGTATTGATGCTGCATCGTTTTATGATGTAGATTCCAGCACAATGATTCAGGCTCGCGGGAAGACGTTTCACTAAGTTTCTCTGCTTTCAATATTGTGGTGAGTCCTCCCATTCAGAGGACTTCAGTTATGACTCATTAGATTTTTTTCAGTTCAGTTGTGTTAGCTTTTAGGCAGTCCAGAGTCTTGTCCCGACAACTCGTTTTATTTAGTTTATAGTGTTTGAGACATTAGTATTCAGTTGTAATAGAGTTATTTCTGAAATCTGTTTCAATTATGATTTTAGCTTACAACTTTCGCTTTAGTTTTCATATGATATGCTTAGATGTGCTATGCCAAGGGTTAGCTAGGGATCACTTGTGATTTCAAGTACCGTGTCTGGCTAGGGTGTAGAATCGGGTCGTGAAAGTCTCCTAAGATGTCTAAAAAGCCGCATCTAGTAGTCCTTTTTATGGGTGTGAAGCGCGCCACAATTATAAGGGGAGGCTACAGAGTGCTTAGGAAATATTTCCTTTCTTTCATACTTTGGATCGTGCAATAGAGCTATCCCCTAAGAAACATATGCATATTCTTGCATTGCTTCAATTTTTCTAACTATTCCTCATTTTCGGGATTATAGAACTAGTAAAGCTCAACTTCTACCGGTAAGGTGTTCTTAGATAGAACTATCATCATTTCAGAGATCGCACAAAGGGCTTGGGAGGAGCCCATTAATTCAAAATCTTATGTTCCTTTTTTTTTGGGTGAGTAGTTGTATTATAGTGTGAATCGAAGTACAAGGGGTGAACATGCTAACAGACAATCGTCCCAGCAGTCAGTTCAAGCTACTAAACCAAATAGCTATAGATAGCCATTGCTGCATTATGCATGATATCCCTTAAAATTCACTAAGCAAGTTTCTACTCTACTCTCACTTTGTGTCTTATAATGGATCTCTTGAATGGTGTTTCTTATCAAGATCTTTGGTTGACTTTTTTGCTGGAAGATACACATGTTCCTCTCTCCAGATATGGTATACTGCTCCTGCTAGCATCATTCTGTACATACATTTTCTTGGCTTTCTTCCTTTTGCCCATTTCTCAGTCCATATGAGTTCATCATTCCATTGCATAGGGTCTCTATTGATATTCAACCATGGCAACAACATCTTCCATATCTGCGGATACATCACATTCAAAGAATAAGTGTGCAATTGTCTCATTTTCCTTTTCGCAAAGAGGATGATTCAGACTTGTTTATACACCCCATTTGTGTAATCTATCTCGAGTGGCAAGTCTCTTGCTCAGCTAGTTGCAGCATAAACACCCACATGGGCAAGCCCATATTATTACAAGTTAGTTTTCTCCCTTCTAGTACTGACCTCTCAAACTTGTTGTAGAATTCTTTGGTGGAGAAGTATGACATTTTGTGGATATCTGTTATAGCATATCCTGCTCTAATGAAATTTTGTTGGTTGGAGGATCTTTTGAGTAGACCAGACTGCCTGCTTTGGTAGATCTTCCAGTAAGTTCCTCCCCCCTCCATAGTAGATATGGATTCATTTTACCCATAGCTTATCTATGTTATTGCAAATGTTCCATAGGAGCTTAGCTATTACTGCCTTATTCCAAGTAGAAAATAGAAATGTCAAGAATGTTTAGGCCACCAGCTGACTTAGGATAGCATATTCTATCCCAAGCTAATAAAGCTTTCTTTGACATCAGTGCCCTCCCATCTATAAGAAGTTTTTGCAAGTTGCTTCAATTAGCTTTACCACTTCTTTCGGCAGAACTAAGATCTGGGACCAAAAAATTTGGATGGAGAACAAGACAGACTTTATAAGTTGAGTCTTACCAGCATAGGACAAAAATCTAGTGGTCCAAGATTTGATTCTGCCAAGGATCTTCTGTCAAAGAGGTTGGCATTGTACAATGGAGATTCGTTTTGAACTCAGAGGTACTCCCAAATATTTGCAAGGTAAAACACCAATACTGAATCTCAGGACAGTTTGGATAACTTGTTGCATCTGAGTTGACACACCAGCACAATAAAGGGAACTTTTAGAGGGATTTGCAATAAGACTGGAAGCTTTAGGGAATTCTTGGAATTTAGTGAAGAGTAACTGGATTGATTGGACATCTCCTTTGCAGAATAATAGAAGATCATTAGCAAAGCCTAGTTGAATCAGGTTTAACCTACTGCATTTAGGATGGTACTTGAATAGGTATTGAAAGCTGAGGAGTTTTAAGGATTTACTCAAGTATTCCATGGCCAAGACAAACGATAGAGGAGATAGGGGAACTCCCTATCTCAACCCTTTTTTGCATGAAAGGGCTGGTAGGATGACCATTGATCACAATTGAATATGATACAGTGTTAACACACATTAGAATCTAATCCACAAACACCATAGGAAGTACAGAGCAGTAAGAATTTGCTAGAAAACCCCATTCCAAGGAATCATAAGCTTTTTGCATATGTCTATCTTAAGCATACATCTGGGAGACATGTTCTTCATCCCATATCCCTTTATCAGTTCATGGCTCAATAAGATATTATAAATGATTGCCCTCCCTAATACAAAAGTTGTCGGACTATTATCTATTGAAGGGGCCATGATTGTTTGAAGTCTATTGGTAAGCACTTTAGAGAGAGATTAGCTTATACAACATTGTGCAACAGGCTATAGGTCTATATTCTTTGATGGAAGAAGGATTTTTTACCTTTGGTATGAGAGTGACATTTGTGCAATTAATGGCTCTAAACATCTTCTTGTGCTGAAATACTTCTTTCACTCCTCTGTAATTTCCACCTTGATAGTCTGCCAAGCTTTCTTGAAAAAAAAAGGCATTGAATCTGTCACGTCCTGGAGCCTGTAAGTCAGCACAACTTTTTAGAGCCAAAGTTATTTCTTCATTGCTGATGGACGTCCCCCAATAAAGTTCCTATGTTTCAAGACCCTACTCTCAACCTAGAGGCTCCCTTACCCCCTCCCCCACCCCTGTCCCCCCC